GTGGTTATATGCGTGGCAGGGGTCTCCAAACTCGGACAAAGGGAACAGGGCCTTGTAACAAAAGACCGTACTCAGAACAAAAGACCTGCTAGGAATTACTGACATTATTTCACTCTCATAAGTGGAGATAATCCAGCCTTGTTTTGAAACAGTATACCATGGTTTGGGGCATTTAGAGCAAGTGGATTACCACTGGGGACAAAAGTGCTCCACCACGGCAGCGATGAGCCACACAGCACCGCTGCATGCTAGTCTGGCCCCTATTGAAAAGAGGTTGGCAGCGCACTGAGCCAGGTTCGTGAACCGCACAATCTGGGCTCTTTTTACAAGGCTGCAGGCCTGGCTGACATACTCAGATGTCAATAGATTTTGTCTGTCAGGCTAGAGTGGACATCAGACAGTCCTTCAGGTGTTTGTAAGTGTCCAGTAAATGAAGATAGGAATTTTTAAAGAATTTTGAAAACAGACAAAAATGATAAAAATCCCGCCCCAGCATCATCAAATTGATAACTGCCCTGGCAGGAAGTGGTTAAAAATGTGTGCTAAGGCAAATCTGTTGGATGGGACTCTCTGGAGAAGCAGAGTGTAAGTTACCCCTTGCTGAGCCTTGGCAGCAAAGTCCTTATATTTGTCTGATGATGGAATGCCATATGCTGGACTGAACGTCAGGGATGGTAGAGTAATCGATAGTTTGCTTGCGGGTAACCCTGATAGGGAGAAAAAATGACACAGAGAAACTGAATGCCTCATCTTACTTTAAAATTCTTGCATTTTAATGGCCACTTTTGAGTAAGAAATATTTGTCAACAGTCACTGATGCCTACGAGAAGGTTTGCGGGTACACCATGTGAAGGTCTCCTTCTACACATATGTATATAAAAAGTGGTGGTTTTGAGAAGATATCTTTTCAGAACCACCAATCTTATAGAAGAGGTTGATTTTCTCCACCATTTTGGAAGTGAGAAGTTAAGGGGCCTCTCCTTTCCTTCTTAAAGAAAACCTGGATTAGAAATTATGTTTTAATTTTGACATGGCCTCCTCTGTACTTGTTAGTGCCACAACTGCCCGATTCATGACCCTATTCTTGATGAGATTCTATCTAGGGTAGAGTTCTCAATTAGAAGCTCGGACAAAGATGAAATACCTCAGCATGGCCAAGCAATGGCTAAAACACTGACTTACGTTGACAGGAGCCATCTTCTTGCTTAAAATATCCGTCCCCTGCTCGGCACTGGCAGGAATAGCCGGCTGCAGACTCTGCTGGTTTGCACTCCTGGCCGGTTCTCGAGCACAGACTGCTGTCAGAGGAGCAAGGATTTGCAGCTGCAAAATAAAAATGGCCCCAAAATGTTAGAATAACATTTCTTGCTCCTGAGTTCTGATAATTGGTTTCAAGGGGAAAGTGACATACATGTCAAAGAAGAGATTGCAGGCCTATTCGTTTAAACTACTTTTTCCAAGATATAAGATGTGCTGAGAAAACCAAGTACATCAAGTCTTTGACACAGTCTGCTACCGAATACTATTCCTTCCTTCAGGTAGAAAGGAGGTTGGGGAAGGCGG